TTGTTAGGTTTTTTTTTTTCGCGTGAGAGAAAGAGATTGTATCCAGCCTTTGGTTTCATTCGCGCGAAGGGAAAAATTTTCTACATCGTTCGGTTTCGTTCACGGAGAGAAGTCTACGATCGATGGTGAATCTGTGATGGGTTCCGAATCCAAATTCCAAAATTTAGGTCTATTTCGCGCAGGGAGAAACGGGTAAGGTCGATGTTCGATTCCTCATTTTGGGATGTTCTTTTGGTGTGATAATTTTGTTGGTTGATTGCGAATTGCGATAGTGCTGTTAGGATTTAAGATCGGTTTCGGTAAGTATTTCACTATTGCTTCGGCGATTATTGTCTTGTTTGCGATTATGATTGCAGTAGTAGGAGGGTATGTAATGAAAAAAATCTTTGTAGGAGCTGTTGCAATTTTCTGCTAGTATGCGTGGGTATTTTCACGGATATATATTACAGTGTAATATACCTATATTTATTAATCTTATACATATGTTTTTTTTTTTATATCATATGATGCATTTATCTCAAAGTACCTTGGTTTTGTTGGTAGACATTACGATTACTCATTATGAACCTTGGTGTTTATTTTATGTGCTTGTATTAGATAATGTTAATATCTTGTAGCTATGCAGCGGTGTCTGCCGAAAATTATTGAAAATGATTTTGCTGAAGGTTAAGGTTTGTTATTCACATTGATGGTCGATAATTGGAAGGAATACATATTTTTTTGGATAGACACTCGGAACTTTTAAAGTTCATTCCTTCCGTATTTTTCGGAGCCCACCACGCATATTGTCTTTGACATCTAATGGGCAACTTTCGCACTTAGTTATGTATAAAATATATGTTTATTTATTATGATATGTACAACAAGGTAATTACATTTCATATAGGTAGTGCGGAGATATCCGATGCACAACAAGAAATGATGGACGTCCATTTTCAACAAAGCTGATTATGCCCCTCTGTAGAAGGATTTTGAGCGGTATATAACTTATGTTGTGGAGGCCATGTCACGTACCCGAAATTACAGTGCTAGTATCGGACGAATTATCTACTCTAAGAGACTCGTTGAAGGATAATAAATAACAATATAGCTGAGTCATTGAATAGTTGGGTGCGCTCAGCAAGGTCATTACATTTTGTTGGGATGTTTGATTTTCTGGAAATATGCGATGTCTATGATTAATCCATTAACCCGGTGCCGACCCATGATATGGATGTGGTGTAACAACTTGCAGACAAAGATAATTTATCACATATCATTTTTCCAACCAGACTTGCCAAAGCAAAATGCTATTTGAATCACATAAGGTGAAACAGATTAAAAAATATGATCATTTTGGTAGTCATGACACAACCAAATAAATTGCAAGGAAATTTTATCGTAGGTATTTCTTGTGTGTTTCTTATGGTTTGAATTTTCTTTTGTTTATGAAAGATTGTACATTGAACGTAATTTATATATGAGACCACTATTGAATGATTTTAAAAATCGATGATATTCTCGTACATTTCATTGGACGTACACAACCATTTTTCTGGGATACATATTAGTCCAAAATAATTCTTCCAAAGTATAAAATAAGGGTACATGAATTCATAACGAAAGTACGTTACATGTTACTGTAATTATATTAAATATGATCAGGAATAATAGTTATTAACAACGACAATATATTACACGGGAATTTGCTTATTAAATTCTACATAATATTTTAGGTCTTTTATGTCCCATAAGTACTCGTTATGATATAACATGGCCCATAGTGTACCCCTATTATTTATCTGAAATTATATTAATATATATTAAATTTATTTATTGAGGTATTTAATACTGTTGAAGTAGTTGTTCCAATGAAAATACGACTATATTGTGACGTTTAGGGAGTATATTCATTAATATTAGGTGTATACATATCTGAATAAGAGGGTGCATCTTTGTGTATGGAAGTATTTATAAATGTGTGCAAGTATTATTAATATGAACACGGGTATTCAAGTAATATGGGCAAAATTTGTCAATGATTTTTGTTGGATCAAACAACTACGAGTTGATACCATTATACCCACTTTCTAGACAACGAGTTTTCAACAGGGGATACTCCCGATATGACATATGAAAGAACCTATCAACACATTCAAGGGTGGATGAGAACGTCAAGATATAAAATAACATATATTGAGGTAACCAAAAGTAATAGATATATTAAAGTCTGTGCATAACTGATAACCTAACATGTTGTTTGTATTGTGATTGTTTGTCCAAAAATTTCTGAAAGTTAATATAACATTCAACAATAGTAAATGGGGTAGAAGTAGGGCTGGCAAACGGATCAAGTCAGGTCGGGTTCAGGTTCGGGTCAGTTTAAACGAGTTACAAAACCTTTGACCTGAACCTGACCCATTTAATTTAATTAAATGGGTTGATATTTGCAACCTTAACCTGACTTTTTATTAATTAGGTCAACCTGAATATGACTCATATAACCCGTTTAAATCTAAAATTTTTAAATTTTAATTTTAAATTACAATTTATACTAACAAAAATTTTTAATGCATAACATATATACATATTAAAGAAAAAAATTATTTATTTATATCATAAAACCGATATTCAAGAATTGAATTAACAAACACTACATAATAGTACATAACACAATCCTTTATTTTTTATTGTTTATTTTTATAAAACTGGCCATAAATATTGAATTGTATTGATAAAATTTAAAAGAATATATCTAAATTTAAAATAATATTAATTAAACAGGTTAGACGGGTTATTTTCAGGTTGAAAATATAGACCTTAACCTGACCCATTTAATTAAATGGGTTAAACGGGTTTGACCCAATTATTAATTGGGTCGAAAATCTCAATCCAAACCCATCTATTTCAGGTCAGGTTCGGGTCGGGTTATCAGGTCGGGTTAATTTTTGCCAGCCCTAGGTAGAAGGGATATCAAGTATTAGTCGTGTGACATATTGAACTTTCCCACTATGTAGGAAACATATTAGTCATTGATGCATATATGTTATCGGTCCGCTGGTGCTTTCAGAATAATTTAGTGAGTACGCATCTTCTCAATATACATCGATTACGTTTAAAGTTACTTAGATATCATATTCCTTATACAAATGGATTTAATTAGTTAAGAGGTATATAAATTAGTGAAATAAAAGTACAAATATCATCATTGAGGGTATGTGGTCTCGACCTAAGGGTTTGTCGATACCCAATTATGGAATATTGTGAACCAAAGTATATTATTTACTTCTATGGGTACTTGTTCTCTTCTAGTACATCTATGCACGTGACATGAGTGTTTAAATTACATATAAAGGTATATAAATTAATGAAATATAAGTATAAATATTATCATTGAGAGTATATGGTCTCGGCCTAGGGCTTGTTGACATTCAATCATGATATCTTACCAACCTATCATATATACAAACATATATATGACCAAAATGTAATTATATATAGACAACCTCTTAAAATATCATATGTTAGTTTAAAATAGTCGGTGATCAGTAAAGTCTACGTAAAAATATAACATAAACGGATAAGTAACCCTATTTGGCTAAAAATCTTAGTTATTCATCAATCCAATTGTAACAAAATACACCTCAATCATTCAAATTGAACTAGACACACCCTCTTAAGCGCCCTGCTAAATTTCATGTAGCAATTTTTGCCCAATAAGTCTTGACATCATCGAATTCGGTTACCCAGTCACCTAGTCGGTAACAGTCTATATCTTCTAAAGTGTAGCTCTCAGCGTATATGCATACAAGCCTGCTACGAAGCCATCTAAAGCAACGGGGTACTGTAGGTAGTCCTCTTACTTTGTCAAGTGCCGAAGTACGCTCGTTAATCCAAGCATGCAATGAAGAAAACCAATTATTTCAATAAGTATAGACTATCTTAATTTTTTTTCACCTAAATACATAAATTAAATGTGTACTAAAAAACCCATGGTGTATCCAATCAAGTAAATCTTCCCAGATTTCAAGTCTCGCATAAATTTCAGTAGGTACCGATGGCATGTAGTTTCCCAAGCGTAGTTTATGGTTGTAAACAAAATGTTGACAAAAAACATATATATATAGTTTGAAAAATTCATCAATGGCTATAACGTCGTTTCAGACTATCAAAGTAAAATTATCCGTCATCGAGGCTTGTACAAATCCAACCGAGGTACAAATAAAATTGATCCAAGTACAATGTGAACTCAAACAATTGATTCTACCATAAACTTTAACTTACTTTTTCGAACTCCGCTTTGGAAATGGGGTCATTTTCGACATCTCGACTGGGATCTGATCTCTCGGCGGTGAAGGAAGACTTTTGATGGCGGCGGAGGTTTCTGTAGGAAGGCTCCCCGGCAAGTAGTTCGCTAGGGAACTTTGACGGTGAGGGCAATGCGGGAAGGGAAGAGTTTGGAAGAATAACTCATCCACAAAGTCTGATGGTGAGTTTTATTAGGGTTTTATTTTATTTTTAGGTTTAAATTACTGTAACTCATTCTAGTACATAAATAAAAATTCGAAGCACATTACTCGAATATTTTCTTTGTACAACGAGATAATTTTGAAGTACGTAATTAGATAATATAGATTTATATAAAAATAATGAGAATACATACAATATTCGTTATATTATACGGTGATTAAAGAATAAAATAAATATTAGGGAGTCAAGTGTAAAGTAAAATGAAAAATAAAGAGTGAAGTGCTTTTCAAAATGAAGAATGATTGAATTTAGACATTTTTTAGCTGACACATATTTAAATAAAATGTCCTTATAATATAATATAAAAATAAAAATAAATAATTGATTTATTATTTGAGAAATTTCAAATTTGGCACACGAAGCACTCTACCTGACATAGCATCTCCTAATCCCCACCGTCCATTCATATCCGCTTCACTACTTTTTTTTTTTTTCTAAAATCCACTTGGGAATATGCGTTTGCGATTCTACTATTCCCTGACTAATTGGATTTGGCAAGATTATGCCTTTTTTACTTCCGACAATGCTGATCATGCGCTCTCAAATCACGGCCACAATCGATCACAGGGGGCTCTATGGACTTACACCACCGTTCTGAAGCGTGAACAACGAAGAAGAAGAATCGGATCTCAACAACTATGAATTCGCCTTGTGAGAACATATATGCTCTATTTTAGTTCATTCTTGTGTGGGTGTGCGCGCGCGCGCGCGAGCATTTGTTTATTGATTGTGCCGTGCATTTCGTGTGGATTGGGCTGAATGATGGTTTTATCTGAAGTATATATCATCTCGCCGATTTCAGAGTTGTTGAGATTTCTTGTATTTGCAAGTATTTTTGTAAGTTCCCTAAAATCATATATGCTGAGCTTCTGAATGATTCGGATATCGTATGAAGAGTTTGGGTGATTTCGATTCTGTTGCTGTGTTTGTTTTTCAATTTTAAGTATTCCTCACATCATTCATTTTCGGCCATTTGTGTATTTTAAGAACCTTGTTGCCCTGTTTGAACTTAGTAAATGAATGTATGTTTAGTTGTGTTAGGGGCTTCAAGTTTATGATCAATAAGAATTTTGATTTGAACTTATTGAGTGTTATGGTTTAAACTGTTTATCTCTAAAAACAAGGTTTAAATTTCAAAATCAGGTATGGGGTTCTTGTTAAACCTGATTGTCCTGCCAAAAACATCTCATATTCATCTAACTTTAGTAATTGGTTACGTTTACCTGTTTTTGAAACAAAAAAGACCAAGAATACTGCAGCGTTTGTAGTTTGTACTCAAGGGAATTACCACTAAACTTTTGTGTAATCAACTCTAACCTTATATAAGTTTTGAATTCATAATCTTTGATAGGAAACTTGTGGTTATTAAATTCGTTGTGGGATTCCATTATTAAGTAGTTTCGATATGGAATAACAGAAGTTATGGTCGGCTCTATCCCTTCAGGTCTCATTTATTTTGTGTTTCTGCTGCTTCTTATTGGGGGTTCTTCAAGACCACTCTATCCGCTACCAAGTAGAAGAAATGATAGAAATAGACGACCTCTCCAAACCTTTCGGCCATTTAACATTGCACATCGTGGTTCGAATGGAGAAATTCCTGAAGAAACTGCTGCAGCATATATGGTATTCTTCTTCTCCAGTCTATTCACAAAAACTGGCCTCTTGTTGTTAGTTGCTTTTTTGTCCTTTCGAAGTTTATTCTTTGTTTTAGAACATTCCAATTGCACCAAAAACCTTTTTAATTAATTTTCTCTATGCAGCATCCTAGGTTCCCTGGCTATAGTATTAGGTGTTTAATCTGTTTATACTTTATAAGCATTTTGATGTTTTGCATTCCTGTTACAAATAGCACTAGTGTGTTGCATAGAGTGTGAAACTATCAATAGCTTCAATATCGGATAGATTTGAATATTCCTAGCATATTGATGAGTAAATGTTGTATGTGAAGTGAAATGGTCTAGAATTGCTTGCAGTTGGATGAATTTCTTGCTATTCACGTTCAAAAATATGAAAAGAGAGATGGACTTGGAGTTTGAGATGAGCAGCAAAAACTCCGATGACATTGTTGTGTACCACTTTTGTAACTGATTATATAAAAATCTAACTAATTTGCAGAGAGCCATTGAAGAAGGCGCTGATTTCATAGAGTCGGACATTTTGGCCTCAAAAGATGGTGCTCTCATATGCTTCCATGATGTATACCTTGATGATACTACCGATATAACCAAGTACAAGGAATTCTCTGGAAGAAAACGGACCTACGAGGTTCAAGGGCAAAATATTACGGGTCATTTTGTAGGTATGCTACAAAACTGTATCTGCTTATCTATAGTCTTTGTTACCTTGCGCACATTTATGTTTTTCTTATTAGATACTCATTTTAAGAGCTAAAAGGTTTTGAAATGCTCCCATAATATCCAAAGATTGTTCTTCCTAGTGTCTGAGCTTTTTTCGTTTTTGTCATGGATAGTAGTGTCAACAATAAATACTGCTTTTTGCAACTTAGAAGATTGTTTTGTTCCTCCTATAAATTGTTCTAAAATAAATTCGTTGATATTGCCCTGTACAATGTGTAGTTGATTTCACACTAAAAGAGTTGAAGTCCCTCCGAGTGAATCAAAGATTTTCTTTCCGAGATCAACAGTACAATGGTTAGTCCTCGTATTTTAGTGGTCTTGTATGCTAGTTTCAACGTCATATTTATCCCTCTATTTCATCGTCTAGCTGATATATGTACGTAAGGCCTCAATTTTCTTCGGCTTCTGCTCAATCGACCTTTTAAATTGCAGGGAAGTTTGGTATTATCACATTCGAGGAGTTCATTTCAATTGCTCTGGATGCACATAGAATTGTCGGGATTTACCCTGAGATAAAAAACCCAGTATTCATCAATCAGCACGTGAGTTTTTCTTCACGGTGGAAATACCCACAACATATGGCATTGCAAAGGGATTTCACATCGACGTGCCCTTTGTGACAGGTGAAATGGGCGGACGGTAAGAAATTTGAGGACAAATTCGTCGAGACACTTGAGAAGTATGGATACAAAGGCTCATACTTGTCCAAGCAATGGCTAAAACAGCCCGTCTTTATTCAGTCGTTTGCGCCAACATCTCTTCTATATATATCAAAACTCACTGAGTTACCCAAGATCTTTCTGATTGATGATACGTCAACGCCAACTCAAGATACGAACCAGGTTTGTACCTTTCATTTACTCCATATACAAAATTCACATTATTACCATTTCTTTGCATTAATTAAGGGTGTATTTGCTACAGAGAAATGATACCGGAGAAATGAAATTGGTCTCATTTCTCTTGTTTGTTTGAGTTAAAAAATGGAACTTGAAAAATAACTCATTTCCATTTATTTGTTTTCATATCTGATGTTGCATTATATTTTCTAAAATTTTTTTATCTTTTTTGTACTATTTAATTTTTTATATTTTTCTTAAAATTATATTATTTTAATTTTACAAAATCAAATTTAATTTATTGTTAAAGTATATAATTTTTACAATTTTTTAAGAAATTGTACTAAAATATAATCTTAAAAAACATTTTATATAATTTATAATTTTTTTAAAAAAAAGGTTACCAAAAATATTTTTCACGTTCCACTCCTTTCATTTATACTCCATTTTCATTCGTTAAAACTCTTTTTTTTTTATCCGATTAATCATTTATTCTTATTTGATCAATTCATATATCTGCATTTTTTACATTTCTCAACTGATATTCTCTGTTTTATCAACCAAGAGAATTAATTCTCGTTCTCTACTCAATTTTATTCTCTATACCAAACATCACCTAATAGTTTCCTGCATCAGTCCTATTCGGAGATCACTTCAGATAAATATTTCGACTATATCAAGGACTTTGTTGTGGGAATCGGGCCGTGGAAGGACACCATAGTTACTGTGTCGAACAATTATCTACAAACGACCACAGATCTTGTAGCGCGAGCACATGCCCGTAACCTTCAGGTATACTCCATTTTTGTGCACGTTGCACAATATCGATATCTTGTTCGCATGCCATCAATTCTGTCGCATTTCTTGTAAACTCCCGTGTGCAATATCTCTTGTTATTGTCCAGGTACACCCCTACACTTTCCGGAATGAGAACAAGTACTTGCATTTCAACTTCAGCGAAGATCCTTACAACGAATTCGATTATTGGATAAACAAGATTGGGGTGGATGGGCTGTTCACAGACTTCACGGGAAGCTTTCACCAGTATCAGGAATGGACGTCGCCACCTGAGGTGAATTTCCATAAACTTGTTGATAATATTGTTGCCATGATCGCTGGGTTTAGGGGTTCCTAGGTTTTCATTCTTTCTTTGCATTTTAATGGAGGTTGCAGAAAATTTGTGCGTACTCATCATTGTCACGTCTCTGCTGCGAATATGCGATTACATACTGTGAATGGAATATGATTTTCAATATTTTTATTTATCTTTTCTTCAGAAATCAAAATTTTAAATTAGTTTATAATAAAAAAAATAACTCTTTAACCCATAGAACCAAATCAAATATTTTTATTTTTATAATAATATATATCTTTGTTATTTATAATATGACATCAAATAATTATGGATGACAATGAGTAAAATATGAATATGATAACACTGGACTTGAGATCCTACTCAAATGTATATTACTCGATGCAAGACCTTACCGGGATCCGAATGTACCCGAACCTAAATGTACTTGGATTTTATCCATGATGTACCTTCACATCCATCTGACCTTCAGATTCAAAATAGTTCAACACCAAACCTAAATGTACTTGGATTTTATCCATGATGTACCTTCACACCCATCTGACCTTCAGATTCAAAATAGTTCAACACCAAACCTAAATGTACTTGGATTTTATCCATGATGTACCTTCACACCCATCTGGCCTTCAAATTCAAAATAGTTCAACACCAAATCTAAATGTACTTGGATTTTATCCATGATGTACCTTCACACCCATTTGACCTTCAGATTCAAAATAGTTCAACACAACCTAAAAATAAAATAAAAAAATTATACAACAAATATATATCTTCAATCACATTGTAAATATGAATAATTGGAATGGCACTGTAAATATGAATAATTGGAATGGGTAAAACAAGATTTTATGCTACTGTAGATTAGAATTGTGAGCGCTGCGAATTTTGGCCATTGGAAGTCTTATATAACAAATCCTTAATAAATTTAATCAGATGGCCCATTTTTTAGTTTGGCTGACCAAACTCAACCCAATCTATTTAACCAAATTCCCAAACTTGACCCAATTAGTGTGTGAGTTTGTTGGGTTAGTTAGGTTAGTTTTGGGGATAGTTTTAGAGATATAGATAGCTAGGAAGTTTGGGGCTTTTGAGACGGTTAATTCCTGAGTGAGAAATAACCGAAGAGAAAAGAGAGGGGAGACGGAGAGATCGAGTGGAGATAGAACAAATCAGCGCAGCGACCCCCTCGGAACAACTACATTGAACACCGTGCTATGGCAACGGACATAATGTCCCGACTCCGAACAGATCCAACCTACACTATAAGAAATTATCAATTTTGTAACGAGATTTTTTTCGTTCCTAAATTCACTTTTTCTGTTACTAATGATATTAGAAACGGAATTAGAGATGAAATTACGTTAGCTACGTGAATTAGGAACATAAATCCGTTACAAATATACTATTTTTTTTTAGTGTTGTTCCGATCCTTGTCATCTTTCGAACTCCGATTCACACCGATTTTGTTCAAAACAACTTCGAGCAGTCCCGATTCTTCTTCGATCTTTCACCGGTGTTAGGAACGTTGATTTTCTACTCACCCCATGGTGTGAAATGACCTGAGGTAACTATGACGTACAATTTGTTGGGAATTTGAGTAATTTGGATAAAGAGAGAATATAAAGTAATACGATTGAATGATATATCTGGTATTTGCTATATATAGGCATAAAACTTCTACTAACCTATCCAAACGTTGTCTATGAAATAACTACTCTTAACTTACATATTAAAATATTCAAATAAATAAACTGCATAACTAATAATTTAATCATAAAAAATTGAATCACTTTTCAACCCTTCCCCTTGATTCAAATATGCATACTCCCAGCAATGATCTAAAATAAATACGTTTCTTTATTGGAAGCGCCTTCGTTAATATGTCAGCCACTTGCTCCTTAGTGCTGCAATATTTTAATGCAATCTCTTCCTTGGCTACGAGTTCATGAATAAAATGGAAACGTATGTCGATATGCTTGGTCCTTCCATGGAATGCAGGATTTCTTGTTAACGCAATAGTAGCTTTATTATCACAAAAAAATTTTGCCGCTCCACATTGCTTCTACTGAAAGTCTGCAAGCAACCTCCTTAACCAAACACATTGCCAAGCTGAAAACGTTGCCGCCATATACTTAGCTTTAGTGGTTGATAATGCAACGGTGGACTGTCTTTTAGAACACCAAGTAATAGCTCCCAATCCAAGGCTGAAGACGTTTCCAAATGTGCTGCGTCTCTCTTCTACTGAGCCTGCCCAATCACTGTCGGAAAACCCAGTTAACGTAGAATCCAAAACCTTAGTATACCAAATTCCAAAGGATAAGGTTCCAGTAATATAACGCAGGATCCTCTTTGCAACTCCAAAATGTTGTTTGAAGGATCGCTCATAAATCTTGAAACCACGCCAACAACAAATGAAATATCGGGTCTTGTATGAGTTAAATATATCAAGCCTCCTACAATACTTTAGAACCTTCTTCCATCAGTCTTTTTTGTACCATCGTCAACTTGCAACCTTTCATTCACATCCATAAGCATAGAGGCTGCCTTGTAATTTAGCATGTTAGACCCTCTTAAAAGGTCTGTGGCATATTTTCTTTGGGAAATAAATATTCCATCTTCCCTTTGACATACTTCAATACCAAGAAAGTAATGCAACATGCCCAAATCTGTCATCTCGAATTTATTCATCATACTTGATTTGAAGTAAGCCACAATGGATGAAGTTGAGCCCATATATATGATATCATCAACATATACGCAAACAAAAAGCAAGTCATTGTTACCTACCTTTTTGACATATAGTGTAGGCTTGTTTTGACTTCTCACAAATCCATTCGTCAAGAAATATGCATCAATCTTCCCATACCATGCTTGCGGGGCCTGTTTCAACCCATAAAGTGCCTTTTTGAGTTTATATACTTTATTTTCTTCCCTTTGTACCACAAAGCCTTGGGGCTGGACAATGTACACTTCCTATTTCGGTTCCCCATTTAGGAATGCTGATTTTACATCAAATTGATATATTGGCCATTGTAGTTGCGCTGCTATGCTTAAGAAAGTTATGACAGTTTCAAATCTTGCAACCGGGGAGAATGTTTCATCATAGTCGACCCCTTCTTGTTGAGAGTATCCCTTTGCAACTAGACGAGCTTTGTGCTTTTGAATTGTACCATCTGCATGATATTTTATTTTGAAAATCCATTTTAAGCCCACTGCATTTTTTCCATGTGGTAAGCTTGTTAACTCCCATGTTTCATTTTTGTTAATCGCCATAAGTTCCTCTTGCATTGCTTTATGGCATTCCTCATTTTTGAGTTGCATCTTCGTAACGCATAGGATTTGAAGCAATAACTGCAAATAAACAAGATTCATATATTTCACTTATAGATTTCAGTTTCCTTGGAGGTGACTTATCATCCGAGGTATCGCCAAATTCAAATGGCATATCTGAGTTACGCTCTATAGGTGCTAGTGGATTGGAATTTGCAGAAGTATAATGTAAATCTGGAGAAGTTGGTGAATATGTACCAGATTATAAATCCACCAAATCATTTAATCTTGCTGCTGCACGATCTTCTCCCTTACCATTGCTCAAATCCCAAATTTCATCTTCTTTGAATACTATATTTCTACTCACAACCACTTTACCGGTAACAGGGATATACAATTTGTAAGCTTTTGATTCATTAGAATACCCAATAAATATACCCTTAACTGATTTATCATCAACTTCCATCGATCTTTGGAATCATTCAATGCATAAGCAGCACATCCAAAAATCCTTAAATGGCTTACTGAAGGTTTCCTGCCTCGCTAAGCTTCATAAGGTGTTCGATTCATCACTGTCTTAGTCGGAGAGATGTTTAGAAGGTAGACATAAGTCACTACAGCTTCTGCCCTAAAGCAATTTGGGAGTTGTTTCTTCTTCAATAAGCTCCTAGCCATGTCAACCACCGTACAATTCTTTCACTCCGTCACGCCATTTTGCTCTGGCGTATATGGTACTGTCAGTTGCCTGTGAATTCCATGTTCTTCATAGAAATTATTGAACTCGTTAGACAGAAACTTACCACGTCTATCCGTACGAAGAACCTTGATGTGAAACTCTTTTTGTTTTTCTACGAGTGCCTTGAATTTTTTGAAATAATCAAAGGCTTCTGATTTGAGCTTCAGAAAGAAGACCTCGCTCATTCGACTAAAATCATCCATGAATAACATAAAGTATCGGCTTCCTCCAAGTGACGTAGTATTCATCGGACCACATAAATCTGCATGTATCAACTCAAGAAAGCAATTTGCTCTATGAGACTTTCCAACGGGAAATGATTTCCTGGTTTGTTTGCCATATATGCATCCTTCACATATATCAAAATCTATAATTTTTGGTAAACCATGCACCATGTTCTTCTCTCCCAATAATTTGAGTCCATTGAAGTTAAGATGCCCATACCTCAAATGCATAATTTGGAATCACATTTTGTACGGACTAGCAATGCGTTACTTTCCACTTTTTAGATTTTCGGCGGAAACATATTATTCTTGGTCATAGGAACTTTTGCTATTAGAAAGTCTGAATTAGCTTTTCTAATAGTGTAAACGCCATCATCATATAATACCAAATATCCACTTGACATCAATTGTCCAACACTGAGCAAATTATGGGCTAAATGTAGAACAAATTGAACATCATTGAGTAATTTTATTTTACCATGGATTGTCTTGATTTCCACGACACCTTTGCCTTCGACTTGCATCTCATTGTCATCACCCAATTTCACTTTCATTTTCTTTGATTCATTAAGATCTTTGAATATTTCCTTCATTCCTGACATATGGTTAGAGCAGCCACTGTCGAGAATCCAAACTTCATTGACAAATCATATTGCGCATCATGTGCCACAAATAATTTGCTTACTTCCTTTTCTTCTACTTGCTCCATAAAATTGACTTCTTTTATCTTTATGCCAATAATTTGCTTTCACATGCCCATACTTCTTGCGGTGATGACATTGAATTTTATTTTTGTTGGGGTGTTGTTCTATAGAAAAATTTTGAGATTCAAAAACTCTGCCTTTTCCTCTGCTTTGATTTCTTCCACGGGCTGCACTTCTTCCATGATTCCTAGATGAATTTCTGGAATATTCCCTAAAACCAAATGACTCCCCTTGCA